GAACCGATTTTCACGAAACTTTGCACACATCATTCTAGACTTAATTCAGTGCGCTATGCCAAATTTCGTGCAAATCGAAAGATATATAGGGACTTTCGGCCGAAACTATATATGGGAGCTATATCTAAATCTGAACCGATTTTCACGAAACTTGGCACACATCTTTCGTGGCTCAATTCAGTACGCTATGCCAAATTTCGTGCAAATCGAAAGATTTTCAGGGTCTAAAGTCCGTAAATCGGGCGAAACTATATATGGGAGCTATATATAAATCTGAACCGATTTTCACGAAACTTGGCACACATCTTTCGTGGCTCAATTCAGTACGCTATGCCAAATTTCGTGCAAATCGAAAGATTTCCAGGGTCTAAAGTCCGTAAATCGGGCAAAAATATATATGGGAGCTATATCTAAATCTGAACCGATTTTTCCCAATTTCAATAGGGTTCGTCCTTGGGCCAAACAAATGAGCTGTGCCAAATTTCATCCAAATCGGATCATAAATGCGACCTGTACTTTGTTTACAATTGAACATGGACAGACGGACAGACGGACGGACGGACATGCATAAATCGATTCAGAAAGTGATTCTATGCATATTCTCAAAAGGAACCATGGGTCTATCTCGATTATTTTTGCCTGTTACAAACATATGCACAAAGACATAATACCCTGTACCACAGTGTGGTGAAGGGTATAAAAAACAACAACAAAACAATATATGGGAGCTATATCTAAATCTGAACCGATTTTCACGAAACTTGGCACACATCTTTCGTGGCTCAATTCAGTACGCTATGCCAAATTTCGTGCAAATCGAAAGATTTTCAGGGTCTAAAGTCCGTAAATCGGGCGAAACTATATATGGGAGCTATATATAAATCTGAACCGATTTTCACGAAACTTGGCACACATCTTTCGTGGCTCAATTCAGTACGCTATGCCAAATTTCGTGCAAATCGAAAGATTTCCAGGGTCTAAAGTCCGTAAATCGGGCAAAAATATATATGGGAGCTATATCTAAATCTGAACCGATTTTTCCCAATTTCAATAGGGTTCGTCCTTGGGCCAAACAAATGAGCTGTGCCAAATTTCATCCAAATCGGATCATAAATGCGACCTGTACTTTGTTTACAATTGAACATGGACAGACGGACAGACGGACGGACGGACATGCATAAATCGATTCAGAAAGTGATTCTATGCATATTCTCAAAAGGAACCATGGGTCTATCTCGATTATTTTTGCCTGTTACAAACATATGCACAAAGACATAATACCCTGTACCACAGTGTGGTGAAGGGTATAAAAAACAACAACAAAACAATAACAAAAAATTTTTGTAAATTATTTTTCTTCTCTTTTAAATCTTCAAATATATATGTGCAAAGTTACAAACCTTAACAAGAATTTGTATTCATTTACCAGCCCATTGAAAATCTTGAAAAATTAAAATCGTGAAGGGGGGGGGGGGGGGGGTTCCCTTAATGTAAATATTAAGTGCTGCACAATTTTGACCATTTTGTGGGGGAGGTAGGAGAATGATTGGACTGATATTCACCATCTTCGATGTCGACATCAGTTTCGAAGGAATGTTACGATGTCCGAAGTTTGGATGAAATAGTTTACTCCCGTCGAGAGTGATCATACAGAATGACGGACATTTGGCTCAAAGAAACATGCAATCCGAAACCGAATATTTCGATGGAGATAATTTTTTCCGCTGCCAATTATATTTATATATTATTCATTGGCAAGTGCCTGCAACTTCTTTTGTGTTTTTTATAAGATTGATAACTTTGGAGACATTTCCAGGTCTACGGCGATACTTCCAATAAGATGATTCTTCCAAAAAGTTATTACGGAAGAATCTGACAGTGAATACGGCTATTCATCGGCGACACTTTTAGTACTACCCGGCCCCTCTGTGGAAATCAGATGGAGCTCGAAATATTGAAGTTAGAGCTTTGAAATTTTGTATTGTTACTGTTCCTAGGTTTTTGAATTGAAAATCGTATAAGGGAGATCGGCAACAACAAGGCAATGTTTCTATCCGGCTCGTACGGACCAAATGTTTAAGCGAGGGGCTTGCTCTACTCCTCGCCGTGGTTATGGTGAATGGGGGAGATCAATGATTAACTCAAGGGAACGGGGTGAAGCGACAATAATAGAACTCCCAAGCAGTTAATGGTGTATGGAATAGAAAAGAAATTGCAAAGAAAATAAAACACAAGAGTTATTAATATAATATTTTAAGTATCTTGGATTTATTGGTGGTATTCCTTCTTTTCTATCAACAACAATGATTGACTGAGCTCGGGAAGCTGAGTCAGAACGTATCAAACTTATACAGACCCCATATAACGATTCCCTTATATTCGGTCCTCTTTTTTACGGTATCCCCCATATATCTGTACCTCCCAAATTTCGGTATTTTGGGGAGTTTAAAAACATTTGTCATCCAAATTGGATGAAACTTGGTATTTTGAATTCTCATTAATGAAAATTATCAATATAGTCTCCATTATTTTGACGAGTATGGGAACATTATCAATATTGATCCACTTTTTAGGCCCCTGTATCCGAACTTTTTTAATTGTTAATCTGATGTTCTCTTTACAAAATCTTAAAAGATCTCGTTTTTCCGGATATTCTTTCAAATAATCCAAGGCTCTTCATTTGATAATCGTTAGAATACATTCTTAAGTGGGTTTATGAAATAAATAAATATAAGATATAAGCATTTCGAAGACACTGATTACGATTCTGCAAGAAAAATGTAAATAATCAATAGGGTGGATTTTTTTTAAAAATTTAATTAATACAATCATTTTTGAACCCGTTTTGTAGAGGTATGACCACTGATTACAAATATTAAATCAGATTTCATATTCAAGTCAATATAGCATGGAATCGTATTTTGTATGTATTATGGTCTGAAAAATATGGCATACCTTGAATACATTGTAATTATAGCCAGCTCAAAATCTCAAAACTACCAAAAAAAATTGGGGTTGGTTTATGTGGGCCTTACCCAAAAACCTAACTCAATATTGATAGTTTTTGTTACAAAGACTGTGCAAAATTCTGCACAGAGAACATAGCGTCGACTGGTGCTATAACCATTAAAATATCCTCTGGCACTGCTTGCCGCTATAGCAGTTCCATCTATGTAATTGGCCCTCATTTCATGTTAAATTTTCGACATTATGGTGCAAAAAATATTTTATAGAAAAATACATGTAAATTTTATCGTATAATTAAACCCTGTTAATTGATTTTCCCGCTTAATTGGTTCAAAATTCATGTCATCAAAAATAAATTTCCTTTTACTTTTCTCCGGTTAATTGCACAATAATAATTGAATAATAATCTGCCATTTTTTACATATATATTTGACATAATTTGTGAAAAGACTATGTTTATTGCCTAGGAAAAACTTCGATAAAGCGTAATTTGTATTTGACATTGGATTTTTTTAAATCATTAGTAGTTCCAATTATACGTGATTACTGTAATTGAACAAACTATTCAATCCGGGTTCGGATAATTGGTTCCTCGGTTAATTGAACGAAAATTTGTGCAAATTTTGATGTGCAATTATCCGAAAAATACTGTATATAAAGTTTAATGGGCTCTGCCTAAAATGGGCTTTTTGCAAAAAATTGGAATCCTTGCCCATAGTGCGTTCCTTAAAATAATATTAACATTTTCTTTTATATTAAAGTTTCAGGGATATTAGAACAGATATTTTTGAAAAGTTCACGCTTGAGAAATCGCTGAAAATGAATGACTTCCGACTTAATGTCAATGATGAAACAACATCGTTACGATTGTCCAGTTTAGCACGAAATTTTGCACATTTCACCAAATTTCAGTATAGGAGGGCATAGCTTTATTTAGAGTTTAGAGTTATTTCTTATTTATATCAACTATGCGAATGTTAACTTCGATTTCACTATTTCAAATTGTTATGATCTGATGTTATTGAATTATTCCCTTTATAGAAGGGTTTTCCATTGTAGTTTACAATTAAAACCTGATTTATTTTAGGTATATTGATTTCATTTCCTTGAAACTACGTCAATTTAATTCAGAAAAAACTTTCCACTTCTAACTAGCCGCCGCTAATGGCTGGTAATTTTCCTTCAAGGGCCACGGCCAAATGAATCACCCAGGAATAACGAGAACATAATAATAAACAAATGAATTAACAATTAACGTCAACAACAATTAAAATTTAATTTGTTTATGATGCATTTCATTGATTCTTTTCTTTTTAAATGAAAATACTATTGAATTAAAAATCTCTACAAAATAGCGTAGAATTCATTTATGTTCTTCTTCGTCTTCCTGCAAATGGTCCAACGGCCTCCCCGCCGATTGTCTGTCTTTTTTCGTTATTTTGCATCATTAATTGTAAAACAACAACAAGACGATTGAAACATGAAAAAGAAGAAGAAAATAAAAGATATGCAATAGAAGACGAAGAAGATACGTAAAAGAAGACTAACCAACTACTGTGGGTTGGGGTGGGGTGGCGAAAAAGGAATAACAAGATCGGCGACAGAAAAGAAAAGTTCGAAAATTCATTGTGTAAAAATGTTTTTACACAAAAACTGTTCGAAAAGATTTTAGTCTTCTCTCAGATATAGAGGCATCAACACGAATAGAATTAAAATTTAGAAGAAAAAATCAATTTGAAAAAAAAAGAAATATTTGCATTCTCAAAAAGAACGGACTATTGACGTCAAGTGAAATAAAAAGAATTTTGAACCGATTGTTATGTTTCGAATACAAAGTGCAAAACAATGAACTTGAAATAAAATTAAACGGATTCAAACTTGTTGCAACTATACAAAGTGATTTTTTATTTGTGAAGAATTTCAAGAAAAGAAAAATAGTTAATTTTTTGGTGGTTCATAGAAAATTAATTAATTTTTTACATAACTGACGCGTGCGCTTACTTCAAATTTTATTGAATTCTGTTCTTCTTATCGCACAATTAATTCAAATTAAAGTTATATAACCGGACACATTTTCGCTGCATATAAATTTGTTCGAGTCCTCAAAGGACTAACAATGGATTCGGATAAAGTTGTGCGCGCCATGGCGCGTTGGTGGCAGGTAAATTTAGAATTTTCATATTTTGTGGTTATTTTTATTTATTTCAATTACGTTTTTGGTGGCCACATTGACGTTATTCCTACATTTGGTCCCAGCCCCCAAGCAAACACTCCTACATCGCGTTTTGGCTGGCAAACACACCCCCTTTTTTTAAAGATTTATGAATAGTTGTCTAGTCGAGGATGTTGTTGTCGTTGCTGCTTCTTATAATTTTTGTTTATTTGCAAAAATTCTCTCGGCAATATTGGACATATTTTCGAAAATTACATATCGACAGCTGTATGGTTATATACGTTATAAGATGGTGTAATATAAAAAGTTTGTTTGTGTATTTCCTTTGTTTTTATTTTTTGACGAAAACATTATGTTTTTCAAGTGTTGACTGATTTTTGTGTGGTTGGTCAACAAATATTAGAAAAATACACTATTTTATTAAAATTAATAATTTGGAAATTTAAAAAACGAATATGGGACATAAAAATACGCCAGGAATTTTAAATAAGATAGTGAACATACATTTTGTAATTGTAATAATTGTAATTTTTAGAGTAATTTTAAATTTGCACTTACCACAATTTTCATTGAAAATTCTAATTTAATAAAAAATTGGGATGGACTCGAAATTGGCTGTAAAATAAAAAATGTTTAAATGACAAATATTAAAACATACAAATACAGAAATAAGACCATTTAAGGGAATTCTGATAGTAATATAAATTAATATATTTTCGCAACTCTTCCGTATGTTGCTATATGATTTGTTCCAAGGAGTGGGCTGTCGTATTTAGGATATACGATATTGTATCTTGACTAGCTGTCGGTCTGTCTGTCTATAATATTTTGTAAACACGATACGAAATTTTCCATTTAGGAGCGGTTCTGGTCAAACAAATTCAAACGCTACAATTTTTACAATTTTATTGAAAGCAAAAAATGTCGGAAACAGCATCAAATTTTGGAATAAGTTTAGATTTGTTCGAATGCCCCAATTTAGATTAGGCGAGTTTACTTGCGGCAAGTCTTTGTTTGAAGGAGAGAGGGGCGAGGGGAATAGAAATTTGAAAAAAAAGTTTCTGGCAATTCTTTTTATAACCTGCACAACTATGTTGTCAGGGTATTATAGCTTTGTGCAGCCCCAAAAGTTTGTAACGCCGCGAAATATTGGTCCTAGACCCACCTTTAAGTATACCGATCGTCATATCTCGACTAGCTGAGTCGATCTAGACATGTGTGTCCGTCCGTCCGTCTGTCCATTATAATTTGTAAACACGATACAGGTCACAGTTATGGACCAATCTTCACGCAATTTTGCATGTATGATGGGTTCTGGCCAATGAAGACCCCTATTGTTTTTGGAAAAGATCGGTTAATATTTAGGGGATGAAATGGACCAAAAACTTTATTATACCCTACACAACTATGTTGTCAGGGTATTATAGCTTTGTGCAGCCCCAAAAGTTTGTAACGCCGCGAAATATTGGTCCTAGACCCACCTTTAAGTATACCGATCGTCATATCTCGACTAGCTGAGTCGATCTAGACATGTGTGTCCGTCCGTCCGTCCGTCCGTCCGTCCGTCTGTCCATTATAATTTGTAAACACGATACAGGCCACAGTTATGGACCAATCTTCACGAAATTTTGCATGTAGGATGGGTTCTGGCCAATGAAGACCCCTATTGTTTTTGGGAAAGATCGGTTAATATTTAGGGGGTGAAATGGACCAAATACTAAATTTTTGTCGGTTTTTCTGGTCGCTCCACAGGCCGCAATAATGGCCCGAACATCGTGAAATTTTGCATGGAGAAAGGGGTCGGGCCAAAGAATAAGCATGCATGTTTTGATAAAGATCGGTCAATATTTAGCGGGTCAAATGGAAACTGACTTTTGTGTGAAAAATGACAAAATTTTTATTCTATAGCATATATATTTACCACTGAAGGACATAGACCCGGGAAGTTGATATTATATCCAAGAGGAGTGGTTGACCTTTAAATTAAGACCAATTATATTATTGTATGTGCTCGGATGTGAGAGTTACACCTAAATATTCACAAGTATCTCCGTATTCGTATATTATTTAGTAACCCATTATCACTCTAGAGAGCGGAACTATATCGCTGATCGCTTTGAAATGTTCCATGAGGTTCCGGGTATGGTCAAGGACAACGCCTCTAAATTTCGGTGATGATCAGATAATAATTTTGGAATTTGTTTTATTTTCGAGTCGATCTATAGACCACAAATGAAAGCCGAACATCAAAACGCAACCCACGGTGAAGGAAATCTTGACAATAGCTGTACTGAATACTCGTAATATGTCAGTGTGAGGAAGAGGTGCTGTTTACCTCTATCGAGCAAGAGGGTGCAAATATCACGAAATATTGCCCAGGCTCGGAATAAATATCCGCAGAAAATTTGAGTTCCGTGGTAGTTGTGTAGGGTATCGTATGGTCGGCCCCGTCCGACTATACTGCTCCGCTCACTGGTTTTTGTCGGTTTTTCTGGTCGCTCCAGAGGCCGCAATTATGGCCCAAACACCGCGATTTTATTCATGGAGAAGGGGAACGGGCCAAAGAATAAGCATGCCTGTTTTGATAAAGATCGGTCAATATTTAGCGGGTCAAATGGACCCTAACTTTTGTGTGAAAAATTACAAAATTTGTATTCTACAGCGTATATATTTGCCACTGAAGGACATAGACCCGAGAAGTTGATAGTATATCCAAGAGGCGTGGTTGACCTTTAAATTGATACCAATTATATTGTCGTAGGTACTCGGATGCGGGAGTTACACTTAAATATTTACAGGTGCTTACGTATTCATATATTATTTAGTAACATATTTCCACACTGGAGGGCGGAAATATAGCGCTGATCGCTTTGAAATGTTCCATGGGGTTGCAGTTATGGTCGACGACAAAATGTTAGGTGATGATCACATAATATTTTTCGGATGAAGTGGACCGAAAACTTAACTATTTGTACTTTTCGAGTCGAAAGTCGAACATCACAACACAGTGAAGGGAATCTGGACTAGTAAGTAGAGGTGCTGTACTGATTATTAGTAACATTTGCTGGCCTCTAGCCAGTCAAAAGTGTGCAAATATCGCGAAATATTGCCCTATCTCAGAATATAGAACCACAGAAAGTTAGATTTTCATGGAAGTTGTGTAGGGTATCGTATGGTCGGCCCCGTCCGACTATACTGCTCCGCTCACTGGTTTTGTATTTTGTTTGTAGTATCAGTAATTTGAAATACCAATCCAGAACATTGTCACAAAATGTAAAAAAAAAATATTTTTGAAACCGAATTGCCTTGTATAGACGCATGAAGCAAGTTCAAAAAAGAAGGATACGAATTGCCGCAAGTAAGCTCGCCTAATCTAAATCAGGACAATTGGTCACCTTTGGCACGAATTATGGCCTTCAAACGGACAATGAAACCGTCACACGCTGCCCGAATGTTGTTCTGCGGCGAAGCGTTTGCTTGAGCTATTTGATATTTTTCTCCAGACACAATAGTCCAATGGATTGGTATCCGTGGGTTTTGGTGGTCATTGTGCGCTGGAAATGAAGCGAGGAACCCAATTTTGTGATCATTCTTACAAACTGCCGGACAACGAATGTTTCCTCATCGGAGAAAATCAAATTCGGCAGTTCACCACTTTCGGTCAAGCGAAGTAACTCTTTAGCTCTTTTGTGTCTTTTTCTTTCTGTTGTGGTGTAAGTTCTTGCAATTTTTGGAATTTTAATGGCTTTACCCCGAGCATATTTTTCAATATTTGCCGAATGGAATATTGCCATATGTTCAGCTCATGCTTCTTTACTTTTCGAACCATTTCTGCTGATGTTGCTGTTTTCTTCCGTCCACTTCCTTGACGTTGGGCTACTCTACCATTACGCTACGAGACACAAGAAATTTATTCTCATTTAAATGCTTGAGTGCTCTAACGATAGCCACTTGTGGATTTCCAGTCCAATATAAAGAAATCGGACTACGGCGTTTGAATTCCATAACGAATAAGTTTTTTTCTGGAAAATGATTTTGTACGCTTGTAAACAATATAATGAGCTATCACTGGAATGATTTGAATAGCTGTCGGACGAGTGGTTTAGAAATGAAAGCAGTGTGAAGTGGGTTGCAGTTTTTTCATCTCACCCTGTTTGTGACTGTAGGAAGACATGACCCGAAACATTGCAGTGAATAAATATGGAATGGTTGACTTTTAATCTGATGTCAAATATCAAATTTCTAGAGGACATATTACCACATAGAAAGTAAATATCACAAAATTGTAGTGGCCCAAAAAATTAGTGGCACTAATGTAGCATTTCAATTACATAGTTCCATTTTATTAGATATGCTGAAGTTCCTAGCCCAATTTTCCAACTATGTACTTGTACTCTTTAACAGGCACTTTATAATGTTGGTCCATGTTTTGATATATCCCCATCCCAATCCAATTATCCGTATTTTATATGAATGGAGGAGCCACTGTCTGAGGTCGGCAGAAGGATAACAGAACGGAAGGATACTTCTTACTAGAAGAATTGGTTCATATCAAATTTACATGTTTTCAAAAAGTAACATCAGAATCAGAATCAATATATCGGATTATCGGGGATTAGTATAAAATATTACACTGTGCAAAGTTTATAAAATGTCCATGGATTAGTAGAATAATGTAGGTATATACACTTTAATACGGCGAAATGTGTCTCATCGTGTTTTAGATTTGTGTTTTAGAAGCCACATTTCCTTGGACCAAATCCGTTTCAGATAATTTGGATTCGATTCACAAATGTATGCCTGTCTGTGTGTCTGTCTAGAACGGGTAAACTATTTTATTCCAACTATTTCATCGAAACATTTCTTTTAAACTTAAATGAAGTTCGGAGTTACCTTTCCCCCCAAAATTATCAAAAAATTGCCGACAATAACCCATGCATGTATAATGTTTAAAGTTTGGACTTAGAAGTGCCAACATTTGATAATTAAACATCAAGAGAATGGAATGTGCGATTGGATAAAAACTTTACAAATCGTAATACTTTTACCAAACTTTGATACCAAACTTATTTTACAAAACCTAAACTAAAATCGAAGATGGGGTCTGTAGGACAACCTCTTCTGACACCTCCTTAAAGATATTCAACTATTTCAAAAAAAAAAAAAAAAAAAAACGTAGTTATTTACAGCGAATCTGACAATGTTTTGTTTCTTTATTCACTCAGCCTTATGGCTAATGAGGATATATACAATTTGATGTGGTGAAAATTTGCTGATCGAAATATTGGTTTTAGACCCCATGTTCCTTTGGATAAATCCGTTTCAGAAAATTTGGAGTCGACTCTCAAAGGGAATAATTGATTTCATCCAAACTTTGCACATTTTGATATTTCTTCTAAACTTAGTTTATGTTCGAAGATATGGTATATCGGTTCACTCCTTCTGGTACTTCCCCCACAAATGTGCTAAAAATGGATTTTATAATAACATGCAAACGACCTATCCGATTTTAACGAAACTTAACAAAACCTATTATCTTTACCAAGTAGGAAGGTCAAGTAGGAAGATGGGACCCATTTGTCAACTCCTTCTGGTACCTCCCCCCAAAAGGGTTAAAATTTCCAATATGTGCAAATCCGATATCAGGCTAATGGAATGTCCGATTTGAACCGAACTTGCCAAGCCTAGATGAAGTCCGAAGGTGGGACAGGTCTGCCCTTTTACCTTATATGAAACGAATAATAAAACCTGTTTATAACTCCGACAGACACTTTTTTACTTTCATATCATTCGTCGTGATTTATCAAGACAAGAGCGCATCGTAGAACCTAAATTTTTGTATGGTGTTGAAACCCAATCCTATAGTACCATGACCATGCAGGCTGCTAAATATTGGCTCCAGCTACAGCCTTTTGATCCAGGCAAAATATGGATAGAAAATCGGACGTACAATTGTAATAGATCTGCACATTGTTTGAAAATCTTTATGGGAGATACCAAACATAATGAAGCGCACTGTTTCTAAAATACAGAATGTCGTCAAAAACCATTTATTATCGACGTCAATAAGGTCAGGATAATGATCTCAAACATACTGTTCTAAATTCCAGACTTTGCATCCTTTATAACTGTCTCAAATACTTCGAACGCCCATTCATAGTCGACATCTCAATCCTATTTAAACATTATAGCATCAGAAACTTGAGACACTTGAAAATAGCTTTAAAAACGAAATGGGATCAAATATCACCAGGTTTCATTTTCAAACTAAGTGGGCCATAAAACAAAAATATTATCCAGCAAAATACTAACATTTTTTTTGTATCCCCAAAAATTTTAATTTTGTTGACTCCTCCTTCCTTATTGATTGAAAAATCCCACATTTCTTGATTTATATTGTGAAATACACAAAATTTCGTTGCATTGTGTAATTCACATAAAAACTGCCATTAAAACACCATCATTATTTTGAGTTGTTGTTTTATAGCGAAACTGCGTACATGGACGCGGGCCAAAATTATTATAAAAATAAAGATCTAAAGATATGGCCGATTTAAGATAAATATGCTTCGCAGATGCCATGCAAGCGTTTTTAAATTACAAAAAAAAAAAGAAAATTAAAAATTTAATTAGATATAATATTAAATAAAAACATTATAAATTATTTACTTCATATAAAAATGAAGAAAAAATGCAGAGAAATTCGAAAAAAATCGTATTTTTATAAAGATCTTAAATTTTGTCACACACCCCTTTCCTTCTGAAAGCCCCCACATATAGTGAAACCCACATTGGCGCCGTTTAGTCATTGACGTTTTTTTACCTCATCGCTACGTAGCACGTGCGGTATGCCAAAAATTGTGGCTAAATTTAGTTGTTATTCGGTTTTTTGTCTCCTATCGATTGTTTTTTTGTTGTTCTTTTATTGTAAATTGGCTAAATTTTTAAAATGTTTTCTTTTGTTGTTGTTGCTATTTTCTTAGTTTGGCTAAAGTGCATTGTTGAGATTTTTTCTAAATTGTATTCTTTTATTTTGTAATTTCACTTGTTGTCTTTTTTGGTTTGTAAACTTGAACTTTAGAATCGATTGCAATTTTAGTTTTTTTTCTGGGAGGAGGTCCAAAGTCTAATTAAAACTATACTAAATAGTTTCGAATGAGAATAAGGAAAGAAATGTCACCGACCAAAAGTATTTCATGTGTCGGACGGAAGTTGTTTCGCTTGACGTTTAGTAATTGAGAATGGTATTTGACGTATTTTTCGCGATCGATGATACATTCTTGTCAAGGATGTGGGAAAGAGATCTAATTGAGTGATTCAAGGGAATGACCATATAAAACTGTTGGAATGCAAGGAATAGCATTACAAATGAGTAAAGGTGAATAATTGAACTATATTTTCCATTCCTTTTTATATAGTTCAATTATTCACCTTTACTCATTTGTAATGCTATTCCTTGCATTCCAACAGTTTTATATGGTCATTCCCTTGAATCACTCAGCCCTTCTAATGACTTGTCCAGATTCCTTCACCGTGGGTTTTGTTGTGATGTTCGGTTTGTGGCCTATAGATCGACTTGAAAAAACACAAAATATTAAGTTTTCAGTCCACATCATCCCACAATTTTTATCTGATCATCATCAAACATTATAGGCGTTGTCCTTGACCATAACTAGAACCTCTTGGAAAATTTTAAATCGATGAGCGCTACATTTCTTGCCTATAATGTGTATAGGTTACTAAATAATATCTGAATACGTAAGCACCTATCCGATTTTAACCAAACTTTATACAACCTATTATATTTACCAAGCATAGATAAAGTTAGATGATGGGATCCATTGGTCCACTCCTTCCGAAACCTCCCCCACAGAGGGTCAACATTTTCAATATTTCTAAATATAATATCAGGTTAATGGAATGTCCAAACTTTGCACAACCTATTACCATTACCAAGCCTTGAATTTGAAGATGGAACCCATTGGTCCACTCCTTTTGGTACCTCCCCTACAAATCGATCAAAATTGTACTAAAAATTAATTTTATAATAACATGCAAACGGACAATTCGATTGTAGCGAAACTTTGTACAACCTATTATCTTTACCAAGCCTAGATCAAATAGGAAAATAGGACTCATTGGATTACTCCTTCTGGTCAAAATTTTTAATTTTTATAAATCCAATGTCAGGCTAATGGAATGTCCGATTTGAATCAAACTTTACACAACCTATTACCTTTACAAAGCCTAGATCTTATTTAAAGATGGGATTCATTGGTCCACTACTTCTGGAGCTTGCTCCACAAATGGTTAATCTTTTCAATATATATAAATCCAATATCAGACAAATGGAATGTCCAATTTGAACCAACTTTTGCACACGTCTAGATCAAGTTCGAAGATGTGACCCATTGGTCCACTCCTTCTGGCACCTCCACCCACAAAGGGGCAGCTTTTTTAATATTCATGAATCCAATTTCAGGCGAATGGAATGTCCTATTAGAACCAAATTTTACACCACCTATTATCTTTTCCAAGCCCAGATCAGGTTTGAAGATGGGAGCCATTGGTCCACTTCTTCTGGTACCTCCCCCACAATGGGTCAAACATTTTCAATATTTATAAATCCGATATCAGGCGATTGGAATGTCAGATTTGAACTAAGCTTCACAATCTGTTACAAAGTCTAGAAAAGGTTCGGTCGAACACGTATTTACTTTTTTTGCTTGTTATTTCTTTTAGGGATATATGGCTGCCAAAACATCGCCATCTTACTCGCATAGTCCTGGTGTTAGTTTCATCAATCATGTTTTTTCAGCTGCTGTAGCTAATTCTAGGTGAATTTTGTGTTATGCTTGAGGTCTACGCTTATTTAGAGTGTATATTTTCCTTTGGGTGGCGCTATCTCCTACACTTCCGTTTTTTCATTTATACATATTTATACATTTATATATTTTGTTTTACATGTTTTCCCTGTTACTCCTCATGATAGCATATAATTTTTACAAAGCATCGCCAGCTAAGTACATGATTGGTCTGCTGTGGTTTGCCCTAGATGGTGGGGCTGCCATATATTGTTGCCTAGAAACAACGTATCTGCAATGATTGAGGTCCATGCTTATCTGGGGTTTCAATTTTCCTCTGGGTGGCGCTATGCCTAGTCATTCCTATTATGTGTTAGAATATTTTACAGCAATTACTTATGGTTGATTTTTCAAAAATAATATTCCAATTTTCGTTTCGTTACATTATCATTTTTTTTTATTTCACCCAAATAAAATATATTTTTGCAAATATTCGAAAACTACTACTGTCTACTGAAATCACGATAAAGATCACAATATGTAAAATAGACATTTGAAATTTTGCAGGATAGACTTTTGAAATTTTAGGCGCCTTTTCCAACTGAAACAGCTGTAATTTTGCATAGCCTCCATATTGAGGTCCAGTAATTTTACATATTATTATAGTTTTAGCTGCATTTTCCAATTTAAAATGATCTACGTTGGCATTTCGGGGTTTTCAGGAAATAATATACATTAATTTTTGTAAATACATCTGGAGGTCCCGCTTACTATGTTAAAGTTCCTAACCTAGTTTTCTTACCTTACTGTCTGCTATTTGGTGTTTGATTTTCTGAGAGTATAAACTACTTACTAGCAGACAATTTACACCAAAATTGTCTCTATATGAAGGTCCCGAATTTTTAAAGAACTGCTGAGTGAGATCACATGGTGGAGGGTATACAAATTTTGATTTTAACCACGTTCCTACTTGTTTCAATAATTACTTTAATTTTTTCCAGCAAATGACTAAATTTTCCTTCTTTCCTCCCTTAGACTGTCAGTCAAGAAGACAATGACCCCAGCTCACGGAATCCCATGCTATATGACCCCCTGCAAGATGGGGTCGTTAAGACATCAAAGAAAATGCAATATTTTGCAGCCATGGTTGGTAAGTACCTCTCTCTCACTCCCGCCAACATTCTCCAAATAAAAATTTGTTCTCTCCCCCTCTCTCCTTAGTTTGTTTGGGTGCCGTATCTGCTGGTACTGCATTAGCTTGGACATCCCCAGTACTGCCACAGATTAGTGAGGATCCAAATGCTAATACCACTGCAAATAATTCTACCGATGGTTCTTCATCGCAACTGCAATTGACGTTAAGTCAGCGTAAGTACATAATATCACAAATCCAAATTGCAATCCCCCCTTTTGAAGTGGTGTCAGCTTTTAGTGGGTGGGTCTTAAATAGACATTAAATGATCATAAACATATTAAAGGCTACAAATCAATTCCAATGAAATAGTTATGATCAATACCTTCCATATCCCCACCTACTTCTCATTTGATTCCTATTCAAGTGGTTCCCTAATGCCAGGTTTTTATTAGTTTTGCCAAGCAATCATTGCAACTGTTGACAATAAATGACAACAATTCAAACATTGACGGTCAATTCAATTATGACAGTTGACGCCAGTTTCAAGTGTTTTATTTACTTTTTTGCAACAACAATTACTACTTCGCCCATTAAACCACATACATCCATATTGCAGGGCGTTAGAAAGTGTAACCGTTCCACTGTGTGTGGTTAGCAATGATTTATCGGTGTCATTCTTCTTCCGTTCAGGGTGTTGATGACTACAACCCTTTATTCTGCGAGAAATATGATTGCACTATGATTTAGTTTTTTGTTGTGGTTTTCTTCTTCCTGACCAACTGAACCTGAACTAACCTATTTTTATTATTGGTCCGACGTTGACTTTGCCATTGGCATTCATTTCCATTACCAACCATCCCGACTCTTGAGACTATTACGAACCGTTTCCATTTGCCTTGAATTGGCCGATGAGTGATAGCCACTGAAGTGCAATCAGCGGTTGATGAGTTGGTGTGATTACAACGTTTCAAGTTGATTGTCCATATGTTTGTGTGTAATATGTATGTATATATTTTATTTGTGTGTAACAATTGACCACTTGGGGGATACTTATTAGAATTTTTTTGTATTAGAAAAAAAGGCAACGCGTGTGGATATATTTTTTTCTATTCACACTATTGTTGAATCCATTTGAGGGAGAGGTTATAATTTCCAAACCTTAGGATGTTATTTAGGAATAGTTCGAATTATTATATATTTATAAAGGAAAGGCATAAAAATTGATTATTATAAGGCATAAAAATCTATTATGTTATACGGCAGTGATATCTGGCTTGTGTCTAACACAATCACGCAAAAGCTTCTGGTGTTCATAAACAAATGCCTCAGGATGATGCGCAGAATATTCAAGATAAACACATAAGTAACGTAGAGCTGTGGAACCTTACGAACCAGGAACCCATACAAAAGCAGATTAAAATAGGAAATGGAGATGGATTGGTCATAGCTTAAGAAAAAAATATCGATATCGATGGCGCTTGAATGGAATCCCCAAGGATCAAGGAATTGAGGTCGATTGGGAACACCTAACGACGAACAATAACCCAAGAACTAAGACCAGTAAGGAAGGTAGTAAAGACGGACTGGACCGACTATATGATACCCTTCACCACTTTGAGTATATTGTACATATGTATCCTTACAATTGTATGTCAATTAGTCCTCTAAGGAGCATTCTCATGTCTTTCTGCAACCTATGCTAAATTTAACTTCATTCGGGCAGATTAGAGTCGTCTGCGTACCATGGGACAAATTTATGGCAAAATTGATACACGCTATTCGGTACGCCGCACTGTCAAAAATTTAATATCAATCAGACACCCGTTCGAAATACATATGGAAGCTATGGCTGCATCTGCACCAATTTCAACAAAAATATATAATTTTAAATGTTATCAGTTGTGCAAAATTTGGAGTTAATCGGACAAACATTAGGAGTTCGGTGCACCATTTATTTAAAATTGGACGAATATATATGTATATGTGGGAGCTATATCGAATTCTGAACCGATTTTCCCGAAACTTAACACACATCATTCTAGACTCAATTCAGTACGCTATGTCACATTTCGTGCAAATCGAATTTATAGGGACTTTGGTGCACCATTTACATAAAATCGGACAAACACATATATGGGAGCTATATCGAAATCTGAACCGATTTTCACGAAACTTGGCACACATCATTCTAGGCTTAATTCAGAGCGTTGTGCCAAATTTCGTGCAAATCGAAGGATATAAAGGGACTTTGGTGTACTATTTACATAAAATCGGACAAAAATATATGTGGGAGCTATATATAAATATGAACCGATTTTCACGAAACTTGGCACACATCATTCTAGGCTTAATTCAGAGCATTGTGCCAAATTTCGTGCAAATCGAATGATATATAGGGACATTGGTGCGCCATTTATCTTAAATCCGACAAAAATATGTATGGGAGCTATATATAAATATGAACCGATTTTCACGAAACTTGGCACACATCATTCTAGGCTTAATTCAGAGCGTTGTGCCAAATTTCGTGCAAATCGAAAGATATATAGGGACTTTGGTGCACCAATTACCTTAAATCGGACGAAAATATATATGGGAGCTATATCTAAATCTGAACCGATTTTCACGAAATTTAACACACATCGTTCTAGACTTAATTCAGTGCGCCATTCTAAATTTCATGCAAATCGAAGCATATAAAGGGACTTTGGTGCACTATTTACATAAAATCGGACGAAAATATATATGGGAGCTATATCTTAATCTTAACCGATTTTCCCGAAACATAGCACCATCATTCCAGGCTTAATGCAGTACGTTGTGCCAATCGAAAGATATTTAGGGGCTATGGTGCACAATTTACCTTAAATCGGACGAACATATATATGGGAGCTATATCTAAATCTGAACCGATTTTTCCCAATTTAAATAGGGTTCGTCCTTGGGCCAAATAAATGAGCTGTGTCAAATTTCATCCAATTCGAATCATAAATGCGACCTGTACATTGTTTACAATTTAACATGGACAGGCAGACAGACGGACGGATGGATGTAAGGACGACTTAGAAAGTGATTCTATGCATATTCTGAAAAGGAACCATGTGTCTATCTCGTTTCCTTTTGCCTGTTACAAACATATGCACAAAGACATAATACCCTGTACAACAGTGTGGTGAAGGGTATAAAAATGGGAACTATATCTATATCCGAACAATGGGAACCAAACTTAACACCTTATTTATGCCCTCTGTCTGTTGAAATATTGCAATATTTAAGATAGAGCTTTGACAAAAGATATTCGCTGAAAATTTCAATATATATACAGCCCCGTCCCATTTGGATATTTCTTCATTTCCCAAGTGGTCAGGAGGAGTAAAATATGTCTTCTCAGAAAATTTTCAATATGGACCCATGTTTCGCATATTCCCCATATAAGGGCCCCGAAAAATGTTTATTTGTATGTTCCTTGGCCCCTTTTCTAACCAATGTGGCTGTAATTTGTCATTCTAGTCTTTTAGCGGTATAAAAATTTATATTACATTTTCAGTTTTGAAAAATGGCATTGTCCTCCGAGGGGTAATCTCGAATCTCGCTACTGATCCTCATCAGTTCCCTTAGTTTTTTATTTGGGATATCATTATTAGAATTTTTCTTCTACTGACATTTGTAGCTGACACATTTACAAAGCTTAAATTTTCAGATCAGAAGAAGTTTATTTCATTTGTACATTATTTCAACATTCTGTATTATCCTGGTGTATACTAACGAACGATAAAAACTTCACAAAAACTAATATTCGAATTTAAGTATTTGCAGAGTTTATTTGTATACCATTTTTTCCTTGTTCTAAAATCAAATATTTAATATTGTCTAAGAGCTGATTACGTCAATAAATGGTTTTCATAAGAAGTCAATATGACTTGGTCAATAGAAATTATCTTGTGATAGACAATAATTAAATACATACGGTATTTGATTAGTTCTTGACATAGGGTAAAATTTTTCATGTAATTGAAAAAAAAAATCATTATCAATAATTTGTAATCAAGAGTAATACTCGACAAAAATTCAATAATTTAATAGAATGTTGTAACATTTTGGTAGCCGAACAAATTTTCTAAGAAAAACTGTTTTTATATAATAGCTACCTAGAACGATTATATTATTCAAACAAGTGAAAAAGCGTTAAGTTCGACCGGGCCAAACTTTGGATACCCTCCACCATAGTTATACTGACAGATACAAACAATGAAAATATAGGGAACATACCAAAAAGTGGGTATATACCGATAATTCTACAAACCGATTTATGTAAACCATTATGTATACCAAATACAAATTTCAGCAATTTTAATGGGGACTTTTCCTAAAATCTATAAGATCCAAAAGTGGACTGATACTGATAACGCATGGTAGAGTATAAAATCCTCAAACTACTGTAATTTAGATTACGAAGTTATATGATGGTATGCCTAAAGAGGGACCAATATTTATTACCAATATTTATTGCCAATTTTGAACCCAATATTTTAATTGTTTATCTCAATTCTCTCCATCAGGAGGTATTTCTATATTGAGGAGATGCCTAAATGTCTGCCGATATATTTCATTATTGTCATGTTTGAGTTTTTTTATCACAATATCTTTAGAAGGCGGAATGCTTACAACAGATGACGAAAACGTCTTTGTAGGGTAAAAATTGACTTATCCCCGTAACGACTACCCAACCCCTAAACACGAAACAAATCGGATAACTATTTTAATATAAAAAGGGGGTTATATGGGGACTACCCCTAAAAAGGGGTGATTATTAATAATTTTTGGTTAAGAGATTTGTTATCATATACGACTACAAAATACCAAATTTCAGCGAATTCGGTTAAAAAACGCGCTCAAGAACCTAACAATTTCCGAAAAAATTTACCTATATTTATAATTTTTTGTGGACAGTTTCGTTACCCAATAAGAACTCAAATTGCTAAATTACAGCCAATTCGACGGAAAAATCCGGTCAAATACTCCCAAAAACTGGAAATTGGGAGGTACCCTTATATGGGTCTACAAGAAAAAGTGGACCTATAGTTATAATTTTTAGTGGGGAAATAAGAATAAGAACCCCATGTACCAAATTTCAGCGAATTCGGTTGAAAACCGCGCTCAAGAACCCTAAAATACCGAAAATTGGGGGGTACCCTTATATGAGGGCTAACCGAAAAAATTGTCCAATATATATATATATATATAATTTTTAGTGGAAAGATTTGCTATCAGTTTAAAAACGCGCTCAAGGACCTCAAAATACCGAAAATTGGGGAGTACCCTAAAATGGAGTTATGCCTAAACGTGGACCGATATAGCCCATCTTCGAACCTGACCTGCCTGCAGACAAGAGATGACTCTATGCAAAATTTTGGTAATTTATCTCAATTCGTTTAGACGCTAGAGTGACTACAACTGAGAGACAGACAGACAGACATGGTTATATCGTCATAGAATTTTACGCTGATCAAGAATATATATACTTTATAGGGTCGAAAATGATTATTTTGATGAGTTACAAACGGAAAAACAAAATTAATATACCCTCCATACTATGGTGGAGGGTATAAAAAACACGTGATTCAAATACATTTGACATATTATTTTCTTTATATTATTATATTTATGCTACGGAATTTTAAAGTATATCATAATGAGGTGGTTTTAATAATTTTATATCAATTATTAACATCAATTTTCTATTTATTTACAGAAACCTGGGTTAGTTCCTTATTAGCTATTGGCGCCTTTTTGGGAGCTTTACCTACAGGTGAGTTAAATAACCGAATCTACAAAGGGTCTACAGCTAATTAAACATATTTTCTTAAGGTTACATTGCTGACTACATTGGACGTCGTTACACCGCTCTGGTTATGGATATACCCTTTATTGTGGCATGGACAGCAACTATTTTTGCTAACTCGGCTACGGTTCTCTACTTTGCTCGTTTTACAATTGGTAAGATTTTGAAACCCAAATATCCTTTTCCGATTTCATATATAATATTTTTGTTGTTTCTTTTCAGGTTTGGCTACTGGTAGTTTCTGTGTTGTTGCTCCCATGTATATTTCGGAAATTGCTGAAAGTAGTATAAGAGGCACACTGGGCACACTCTTCCAGCTGACATTGTCCATTGGTATTCTGCTCGTGTATATTATTGGTGCAATGGTCACATGGACAACGTTGAGTGTCCTTTGTTTGCTGGTCCCGGTCGCCTTGTTTATTGGAATGTTGTTTTTGCCTGAAACACCAACTTATTTATTGAAGAAGGTAAGCATTAAACAATTTAAAACATATTATAAGAAATCTACGTCTTTAGATAGTCTTGGAAAAATATTTTTAAAAAACCACACCTGTAGGCCTTTCTGTAACTTTTAACAACATTCAATATTGTTTAAATTTCTTTTGTTATTGAAAAGAAACAATAAAACAAACAAATGAAATTGTTGTAAAATAAACAATATTGAATGTTATTAAAAAATTACCGAATAGGCCTACTGTATTGCTTCTAGAAAAAATATTCTAAAAAAAACACGCCTTGTTAAGGTCCTTGAAAAAATATTCCTAATAAATCCACGTCTTGTTAAGGTCCTTGAAAAATTAATCCTAATAAATCCACGTCTTGTTAAGGTCCTTGAAAAATTAATCCTAATAAATCCACGTCTTTTTAAGGCCATTGAAAAATATTCTTTAATAAATCCACGCCTTGTTAAGGTCCTTGAAAAATATTCTTTAATAAATCCACGCCTTGTTAAGGTCCTTGAAAAATATTCTTTAATAAATCCACGCCTTGTTAAGGTCCTTGAAAAATATTCTTTAATAAATCCACGCCTTGTTAAGGTCCTTGAAAAATATTCTTTAATAAATCCACGCCTTGTTAAGGTCCTTGAAAAATATTCTTTAATAAATCCACGCCTTGTTAAGGTCCTTGAAAAATATTCTTTAATAAATCCACGCCTTGTTAAGGTCCTTGAAAAATATTCTTTAATAAATCCACGCCTTGTTAAGGTCCTTGAAAAATATTCTTTAATAAATCCACGCCTTGTTAAGGTCCTTGAAAAATATTCTTTAATAAATCCACGCCTTGTTAAGGTCCTTGAAAAATATTCTTTAATAAATCCACGCCTTGTTAAGGTCCTTGAAAAATATTCTTTAATAAATCCACGCCTTGTTAAGGTCCTTGAAAAATATTCTTTAATAAATCCACGCCTTGTTAAGGTCCTTGAAAAATATTCTTTAATAAATCCACGCCTTGTTAAGGTCCTTGAAAAATATTCTTTAATAAATCCACGCCTTGTTAAGGTCCTTGAAAATTGTTATTTCTTAAATCCACGTCTTGTTAAGGACTTACACTCCCACAGTGATCCTAAATCCCAGTTTCAGGATTCCAACTCTATCAGTTCAACCACAATTTAAATTGTACCAAATTTAGTACATAGTAGTAGAAATTTCCAAAACTTCCTAAATACCCCCATCCTACACCCCGACAGTGATTCTAAATCCAAGCTTCAAGATTCAAACTCCATAGGTTCATCCACACTTCAAATTGTACCAAATTTTGTACACAGTTGTACCAATTCCAAAACTGTCTATATAACCCAATCCTAAATCTAAATTTCAGGATTCTAACTCTATCGTTTCACCCACAATTCAAATTTTACCAAATTTAGTACTCAGTAGAACTTATTTCCAAATCCTTCTTCTTACCCCAAACCTACACTCCCACAGTCATCCTAAATCCACGTTTTAGGATTCCAACTCTATTGGTGCACCCGCAATTCAAATTGTACCAAATTGAGTACACAGTAGTACGAATTTCAAAAACTTCCAACTTAACCCAAACCAACACCCCCACAGTGATCTTAAATCCAAGTTTCAGGATTCCAACTCTATCGGTTCACTCACAATTCAAATTGTAGCAAATTTAGTACAACGTAGTACGAATTTCCAGAATCTCCTTCTTAAGCCAAACTAACACCCCCACAGTGATCCTAAATCAAAATTTCAGGATTCCAACTCTATCGCTTCATCCACAATTTAAATTGTACCAAATTTAGTACACTTAGTACAAATTTCTAAAACATCCTATATATCCTAACCCTACACCCCCACAGTGATCCCAAATCCAAGTTTTAGGATTCCAACTCTATCGGTTAACTCACAATTCAAATTGTACCAAATTTAGTACACATTAGTACTAATTTCTAAAACTTCCTACATATCTCAATCTTACACCACAACAGTGCTCCTGACTCCAAATTTCATGATTCTAGCTCTATTGGTTCACCTAAAATTCAAATTGTACTAAATTTAGTACAATTAAGACTCATAAGTACTAATTTCTTACACTGAATCCTGACCCCAATCCCTCACCCCTACAGTGATCCTAACTCCAAACTTCATTGTTCCAGCTCTATCGCTTCACCCAAATCCAAATTGTACCAATTATAGTACGATTTAGTACTTTTCGTACATATAAGTAAAAATTTCCAAAACTACGTACATATCCCAATCCTACACTCCGACGGTAATGTTACTATCACTTTTCATTATTCCAGCTCGATTTGAACCTCCAAATCAAATTTGTACCAAATACAGTACCATATAGTACTTTTCGTACACATGAGTACACGCTTTCCAAACTCTCCTCATATCGACCCTACTTCTCAACCTTAATTTGCATTCCAAATTTCAAGTTTTTAGCTCAATCCATTCACATGCTACGAAATTGTACCAAATTTAGTACATTTCAGTACTTTTGGCATACTTATAGTTTGAATTTCCAAAAAGCTCTTTGCTACATCTATTCTACACTCCATCAGCGACCACCAAACCAAATTGCATAGTTCTAGCTCCACCGGTTCGCCAAATACAAATGGTATCACATTTAATACCGTCATCTTTGGACCAAGAGTGACCCTCAACCAAAATTTCAAGATTTTAGCTTCAGCCGTTTAGTACTCAGTAGAACTTATTTCCAAATCCTTCTTCTTACCCCAAACCTACACTCCCACAGTCATCCTAAATCCAGGTTTTAGGATTCCAACTCTATTGGTGCACCCGCAATTCAAATTGTACCAAATTGAGTACACAGTAGTACGAATTTCAAAAACTTCCAACTTAACCCAAACCAACACCCCCACAGTGATCTTAAATCCAAGTTTCAGGATTCCAACTCTATCGGTTCACTCACAATTCAAATTGTAGCAAATTTAGTACAACGTAGTACGAATTTCCAGAATCTCCTTCTTAAGCCAAACTAACACCCCCACAGTGATCCTAAATCAAAATTTCAGGATTCCAACTCTATCGCTTCATCCACAATTTAAATTGTACCAAATTTAGTACACTTAGTACAAATTTCTAAAACATCCTATATATCCTAACCCTACACCCCCACAGTGATCCCAAATCCAAGTTTTAGGATTCCAACTCTATCGGTTAACTCACAATTCAAATTGTACCAAATTTAGTACACATTAGTACTAATTTCTAAAACTTCCTACATATCTCAATCTTACACCACAACAGTGCTCCTGACTCCAAATTTCATGATTCTAGCTCTATTGGTTCACCTAAAATTCAAATTGTACTAAATTTAGTACAATTAAGACTCATAAGTACTAATTTCTTACACTGAATCCTGACCCCAATCCCTCACCCCTACAGTGATCCTAACTCCAAACTTCATTGTTCCAGCTCTATCGCTTCACCCAAATCCAAATTGTACCAATTATAGTACGATTTAGTACTTTTCGTACATATAAGTAAAAATTTCCAAAACTACGTACATATCCCAATCCTACACTCCGACGGTAATGTTACTATCACTTTTCATTATTCCAGCTCGATTTGAACCTCCAAATCAAATTTGTACCAAATACAGTACCATATAGTACTTTTCGTACACATGAGTACACGCTTTCCAAACTCTCCTCATATCGACCCTACTTCTCAACCTTAATTTGCATTCCAAATTTCAAGTTTTTAGCTCAATCCATTCACATGCTACGAAATTGTACCAAATTTAGTACATTTCAGTACTTTTGGCATACTTATAGTTTGAATTTCCAAAAAGCTCTTTGCTACATCTATTCTACACTCCATCAGCGACCACCAAACCAAATTGCATAGTTCTAGCTCCACCGGTTCGCCAAATACAAATGGTATCACATTTAATACCGTCATCTTTGGACCAAGAGTGACCCTCAACCAAAATTTCAAGATTTTAGCTTCAGCCGTTTCGTCTCTCGTTGACGAATCGATAAATCAGTCAGTCAGTCAATCACTTTACTCTTTGATTAGTATAGATAAATCCACGCCTGTATTGGTCCTTGAAAACATTTTCTGTAAAAAATCCACGCCTATATTGGTACATGAAAAAATATTTTTTAGAAAATCCACGCCTATATTGATGCTTGAAAAACCCACGTCTGTAATAGCCTTTCAAAAAATTATTTATAAAAATCTTATTATGGTCCTTGAAAACAAATATTTATTTCGTTTTTCTCTCTTCCAGGGTCGTCGTGGTGATGCTGCACTCTCCCTCAAATGGCTTTGGGGTCGTTATTGTGATTCTCGCACTGCGATTCAACAAATCCAAAGCGAATTGGATCAGGCCGGTGGTAATGCTTCGTTCTCCGATGTTTTCCGTATAAGAGCTGCTCGCAATGGCCTCATCATATCCATGCTTCTGATGTTCTTCCAACAATTCTCTGGTGTGAATGCTGTGATTTTCTACACCGTACCAATTTTCAAGTCAGCCGGCAGTACATTGGACCCATCAATCTGTTCCATTATTGTTGGTTTTGTACAGGTCGTAATGACATTTACTTCGTCGCTGATGATTGAGAAGGCCGGTCGCAAGTCGCTGCTGATATTTAGTAGTACCATTATGACAATTTGCTTGGCCATTTTGGGTGCCTATTTCGATATGAAAGATGATGGAAAGGATGTGTCGTCAATTGGTTGGCTACCCCTGCTGTGTGTGGTCTTGTATATGATTACATTCTCGGTGGGTTATGGTCCCATTCCCTGGCTTATGATGGGTGAACTGTTCTTGCCTGATGTTAAGGCTACAGCTGTGGCATTGACTGTCATGTCCAATTGGTTTTCGGTATTTTTGGTCACAAAAACATTCGGTTCCATGATCACGGCTTGGGGTTCCGATATGACATTTTGGTTTTTCGCATTCTGTATGTTTGTCGCCACAATGTATGTGGCCTTTATGGTCCTGGAGACAAAGGGCAAGAGTTCGTCACAAATTCAATCCTGGTTGGATAATAAATAAGGGGTTTGAGCGATCGGAAATTTGAGGGGGTTATTATTATTTTTTAAATAATTTTTTTAGAGATTAGTTGTAAATTAAAAGAATTTATTTTTTAGAAAATTTTATCTGTACTTTTAAATAAAACAGCTCGATACCAAAAAAATTTAAATGTTATGATTTAAAATAAATATTGGAAAATAAATAAATATTATATATATTAAAAATATATAAATATAATATATATGTACGTAAATAGATGTAGGACTCTTTTGGTGGCAGGAATATAGAAGGATGAGTCAATCCTGCTCGCCTTCTTTAGCCTTCCAACAATAAGGGTTTTTGTTTTTTCTTAAGTTGTAGTATGACCATTAGAGATGTATATTTGAATCATTTGGAAACATTTTTTTCTGTAATGCACTCATACAAAACTCAGGAATTTACTTTTCCTTCTCCACATTATTGACACAAAAAATCGAATAAATTGTTTCCTTGTGGTTCATTTCTTAGAGTAGTTATTAATGTAATTTTTATCAGACTATAGTTTTTTTTAATATTTAAATTGTTATTATTTGATTTTTAGTTTTTATTATTTTGATTGATAATTTTAAGTTATTTATTTTATACAGGGTGTCCCAAAAAGACATGAATGAAAATAAAATAAATGATAAATAAATGCAAAACAATTGGGACCAGAATATTTGTTTTATTTATTTAACTTCAAACCTGTATTGGTACTTAAACTATTCTTTAATAAGTCCACGCCTGTATTGGTACTTGAAAAAATATTCTTTAATAAGTCCACGCCTGTATTGGTACTTGAAAAAATATTCTTTAATAAATCCACGCCTATACTAGCATATACCCATTACTTCGTTAGACCATTATTGAAATTTTAGAACCATTTTAGAATATAGTACATTTTTCAAATTTACCTCTATATCTCAACCATACACACCCATTCCGACGGCAACAGAAATCAACCTCTATACTAAATTTGGTGTCATTTTCACCCTTTGAACTCGTATAATACTTTTTTTGAAAAACATTTCAAATATAGCTTCTCCCAAATCCAAATTAAGTACCAGTTAGTAAACATTAATATAAATCGCCTACATTAACAATAATAAATTGTCTACATTAACAATCATAAATACGAATTTCCAACACTTCCCACATACCCCAATCTTAATTCCAAATTTCAGGATTCCATCGGTTCACCTAAATCCAATTTGTTTCAAATTTAGGGTCATTTAATACACATCGGTACAAATTTCCTACATCATGCAATCCAATGAAAATCTTATTACTCAATTTCAAGATTTCAGCTATATCGGTTAGCTTTTAATCCAAACTGTGCCAAATCTAGAGCCGTTTAGTACACATTAGTAGACATTTCCAAAACTTCCTACATACCCCATTCGAACACCCCAACTGTGATCCTAACCACCATTTAGTACACATTAGTACGAATGTCCAAAACTTTCTACATAGCCCAATCCTACAACCCGACAGTGATCCTAACTTCAAATTTCGCAATTCTAGCTCTATCGGTTTACTCAAATCCACATTTGGTACTATTTTGAACACATTGCTATAAATTTCCAAAACTTTCTACATATCCCAATCCTACACCCCAAACTGTAACCCTAACTCCAAATTTCAGGATTCCAATTGTATTGGTTCACCAAAAATTTAGTACGCAGTAGTACAAATTTCCAACACTTCCTACATACCCCGATCCTACACCCCCACAGTGATGCTAAATCCAAGTTTCAGGATTCCAATTCTATCGGTTCATCCACAATTCAAATTGTAGCAAATTTAGTACACAGTAGTTCCAATTTTTAAAACTTCTTACATACCCCAATCCTACACCTCCATAGTGATCCAAAATCCAAGTTTCTGGATTCCAACTCTATCGGTTCACCCACAATTCAAATTGTACCAAATTTAGTACACAGTAGTACTAATTTCCAAAACTTCCTACATACCACAATCCTACACCCCCACACTGATCCTAAATTAAAGTTTTAGGATTCCAACTCTATCGGTTCGCCCACAATTCAAATTGTACCAAATTTAGTAACAGTAGTACAAATTTATAAAACTTCTTACATACCCCAACCTTACACCCCTACAGTGATCCCAAATCCAAGTTTCAGGATTCCAACTCTATCGGTTCACTCACAATTCAAATTGTACCAAATTTAGTACACATTAGTACAAATTCTAAAACTCTTACATATCTTAACCTTACACCTCAATTGGTTTACCTAAAATTCAAATTGTACTAAATTCAGTACCATTTAGTACTCATAACTACTAATTTCTTAGACTGAATCCTGACCCCAATCCCACACCCCTACAGTGATCCTGACTCCAAAATTCATTGTTCCCGCTCTATCGGTTCACCCAAATCCAAACTGTACCGATTATAGTACGATTTAGTACATTTCGTACACATATGTAACGAATTTCCAAAACTACGTTCATATCCCAATCTTACACTCCGACGGTAATGTTAATTTCAATTTTCATGATTCCAGCTCGATTTGTACCTCCAAATTCAAATTGTACCAAATATAGTACCATGTAGTACTTTTTGTACACATGAGTGCACGCTATCAAAACCATCTCCTTATATCGAACCTACTCCTCCAGCCGAATTCGCATTACAAATTTCAAGTTTTTAGCTCTTTCCATTCACATGCTACGAAATTGTACTAAATTTTGTACATTTTAGTACTTTTCGGATACTTATAGTTCGAATTTCCAAAAAAATCTACACTCCATCAGTGATCTTCATCATACACTACACAACTATGTTTTCAGGGTATTATAGCTTTGTGCAGCCCCAAAAGTTTGTAACGCCGCGAAATATTGGTCCTAGACCCACCTTTAAGTATACCGATCGTCATATCTCGACTAGCTGAGTCGATCTAGACATGTGTGTCCGTCCGTACGTCCATCCGTCCGTCTGTCCATTTTAATTTGTAAACACGATACAGGCCACAGTTATGGACCAATCTTCACGAAATTTTGCATGCATGATGGGTTCTGGCCAGTGTTGCCAAAACTTTGATTATAAAAAATGCTAGATTTTGTTTTAAAAAGTGCTAAAAATATTTAAAAAGTGCCAAATAAAAGTGCTAAAAATGTTATAAGAGAAATTAGTAGAATTGGCTGTAATTTTCATATTTTTGATTCTTATTAGGTAATAAGTTCCCTACCAAAAATTATCAATGTGGGTCTAAGATCCGTGTAAGGCCCTAGAAAAATAAATTTAAGGGCGTCGGGCACGTATTTCCATCAAATTGACTATATTTGCCGGTTTGTCAAGTTGAAGGTTTGCACATAGAGGTTACAACCTATTTGGGGCCTTTTTAGGTTTAGAACATTTTTTCGCCGAAGTGGCTGTTATTTCAAACTATGTTTGCGCGGAATTTTCGATGTAGGTCCATATTTTGATATAACCTCATTATATAGTGGGACGCGACCCATTTTCGGGACTCCGAAGTGGCTAAATCTGGCATTCCGGATTCCCAGTGAAAAACTCCTTTCCAGAAAGTTTTAGATTAGGTTCATGATTTTTACATGACTCACATACAAATGCCCTCTTAATTTGACTTTCCATTTTACCAAATAAACAACCTACCAGCAGGCGATGATGAATCCTGTGTGTTTTACATGATTCCCGCCGTAACGGCTTTTAACATGGTGCACCATTGGGTGTCGAAATTGAGTGTCGACCAGCGCCCTATTGGAAAAGCTCAGAGTAATCAACGAGCACCCTGAAACTAATCTAATTCGAAGATCCGCCGCATTTCCTCCTTGGTGAGGCGTCGAGGGCTATATAAATCTCTGCCTTTCTATGAGGATCCTCATGAGGAGCCTCACCCTGAGGATGATGCAACTCCACATCGAGCCGAAGCTCTTCCCGCCAAAAGCAGGCGATGATATAGCAACCAAATGCAGTACCCAACCACTTTTTTAGAAAAAGAAATTAATACACTACACATGGTGCAGGGTATAAAAAGTTCTCTTCGGCCGAATGTTAAAATTATTTTACTTATTTACAGATCCCCTGACATTTTTTAACATTTGAAAATCAAACTCACAGCGTGAAACATAGAGATATTTTAATCCGTCAATTGAAATAATATCCCAAATTTTAACTAATTCCAGAAAAAAATAAGAATGCTAAAAAAGGTGCTAGGTGCTAGATCACATTTTCTGGTGCTAAACGAGTTTGAAAAGTGCTAAATCTAGCACTAAAAGTGCTAAATTGGCAACACTGGTTCTGGCCAATGAAGACCCCTATTGTTTTTGAAAAAGATCGGTTAATATTTAGGGGATGAAATGGACCAAAAACATTATTTTCGTCGGTTTTTCTGATTGCATGGAGAAGGGATCGGGCCAATGAAGAAGCGTGCCTGTTATGATAAAGATCGGCCAATATTTAGCGGGTCATATGCAGCCTGACTTTTGTGTGAAAAATTACAAAGTTTGTATTCTATAGCGTAAATATTTAGTCCTGAAGGACATAGAACCGAGAAGTTGATAGTATATCCAAGAAGAGTGGTTGGGCTTTAAATTGATACCAATTATATTGTCGTATGTACTCGGATGTGGAAGATACACTTAAATATTTACAGGTGCTTACGTACTGAGATATTATTTAGTAACCCATTACCACACTAGAGGTTGTTAAATTAATTATTTTCCTTATCAATTAAATTTGTAAATATATAAATAAAAAAATATAAACTACAAATATAATTGTAAAATAAAATTAAATTCTAAAACTCATCTCGTTTGATTAATGTTCGGCTTGAAGCATTCGATTGGCTCTGAAATGTCGTTAATGTTTACATTGACCTCGTTACACGAAGGTTAAGCGATAAATTTTCAAAATATTTTGTATGTTTTTTTTTTGCTTAAAGTGCGTTTTAGGCGCTTCTATGATTTATCGTCATGTTATCGCCAATACGATGTTGCTGTATAACATCTTAAATGCGTAT